GGGAGCTTTCTCGACGGATCGAGGCAGCCAACATGGATTTTTCGATCCGTCATCCCTCGATCGCAACTTCCTTCCTTACTGGTGTTTTTTCCCCTTCTACTCATCGTCCTCTTCTTGAATCCCAGAGAAGTTAATGTGTAATGCGAGCAGTTTACTTAACATCGAGTATTATTTGATTAGCCGAGGCAAGCGAAATCCCCCCGAGAGGGTACGGTTACAATACAGGAGTAACCCGAACGATCATCCTTCCATTAAACCCAGGGATCTCCTGTACCTTTTTCGATGGAATATTGTTTTTGTTGTTAGTGTGGCGACATTTTCCTTTGTGGTTGTGCTGACTTGCCGACTCGATTTGGACCTGCATGTTCCCCCCCCCCCGAGTTCTGTATAAGGTTATAGTTGTATGCAAATAATGACGTCATACTTGTGACGTCATACTTAGAGTGTTTCTGATTGGTGCATTGGTTGTCTCAACAAGGCAACCTAACGCTTCAGTATGTTTTTTTCTGAGGAAATTTTGTTTTGAAAGGATGTCATGTACCAACAGAAAGGTGATGCGTGACTTTTCAAATGTTTCAAACTCTGTACTTCAGTTTGTGAAGACGTGACAAAATGTTCCGAGCAATGGTTACGCATGCGCAATTTGCCCTTATCGCCACATTGGTACGGGTCAGTTAAGTTCACGGGTTAAGAATGGAACTGTTTCCTTTGATTCAAAAATGTAGCGAACGATTCTGGGGGGTTAGCCAAAGATGTAAACAATTGATGCTATCTGCGCGTTGCACTTGAAGAACAAAATATTATTTACAATCGGTTGTTCCCGTCCCGCCGCTCAGTGTGCGCATGCCCGTGGCATCTTGATCCTTGGACCCCTGCAAGGACCCGTCCATCAAGCTTGATCTGGCTCCTTTGATTGGCTGCTGGTTTGGCAAACCCTGCCCATTTGGACTCCTCGTCCAATAGCAGCGCACGGTGCGAGGAGGCGCCTCGGGAGGCCCGGGAGGACCTTTGCACCGTGCCTGACGCTCGTGACGCGGGCTGCGGCGGCCGGCCTCAAAGGATGCTGGTAAAATATTTATCCGATCCGAGAGCGATACTGACTCTTCATTGAGTTGTCGTGAATTTGGAGAGGCCGGCGCCTTTAATGGACACACAAAGGTCAGGCAATGTTTGGCAGGACCCAACGGTTTGGAGATAACAGCGGGCCGGGCCGATGATCAGCTCATGTAGTTATGGAGCGCCTGAGCGGACATAATACTCGCGTGCTGGCGTGTGACTGCAGGGGTGTGAAACATTACCATCGAGTTCTTCAACATTTGAACGTAATTGTGGATGAATCTCAACATTCTCTGAATCTCCACATTGTCTGAGTCTGATCTTTGTTGTCTAGTGGCGAGTAGTCACTGATGCATATGTGAACGTGCATAGTACAGCATGAAAATAGGGAATCGTAACAGTTAACATTGCCAACACTTTTATGAATGAGGGTGTATGATTTAAAGGTAATGATAATTTGTTTTATCAATTTTGTCGGAATTGGCACTGTTTACTCCTCATCGAAGCAGCTAAGTGTACCACAAGGAATCATACCCTTGCTCTTATACTTAATTGTTCGGTATGGCGTTCCATACCAAAACCACGGCTGACGTAGTCTTTTTGAGCACACTCGCCCTCTTACCATCAATTCGATTCCTCTCATGATTGAACAGGGTCCCTTTTCTTTTTTCTTAAATTCTTCCCCTGCCTCCTCATTGTCATGTTCATACCTGCGATCCGCCCTTCCACCTGCTCACCAGGAAGACCGATGTGCCTTTCCCCCTTCGAATTGAAAGATGGCCGCTTTGTCAGATTCTACGAGTTGTGATGTGACGGATGGACCCAGAATGCCAAAACGTTTTTCGGTGAAAAAAAAAAAACAGAATCAAGGGAGATATAGTGTTACAATTCCATGACATCAAACTCACAGTATGGACAAGATAAGAGTGTTCTATGGTTAAACAGACGAATGTTGGTTGTCATGGTAACTGTTGACCCCGGGTCACTGCGCAGGTTATGTTGGAGTCCTTATCGTTTTACTAACATACCCAACACGCCACTTTGATGACGATTCATTAATTGTCTTTTTTTTTCAGCCCAAACCTCGTATTTGTGTAATAACAGCGCACGGGGCCAATTCAACCATCAACCCTCCCTCAAAAATAATATAGGTGGCATCCTGAAGGGCTTTTGGTGTGTACCAATGTTGTGACTGGTTCGTTTATCTGATAGGGATCTTGTCCGAGATAGCGGGAACCCCTCTGTGTGTGTGTGCGGTGTGGCCGTTTATGCCGCGCTCTCTCCCCCGGTGATGCTGCGCCGATGCCCCGGCCACATTCATCCGTTGCTATGCATATGGGCTTCCCGTTCGCTGTTAGGTTACACATCACACATCGCATACACCACATACGCGCATCGCCGTATGAGGTTGTTGTCAATCTCTGGTAGTAATATTGCGCTGCCCGTTGACAAACACTGTGCTTTTGCCCATTATCATCAGTATATGATGCTGATGCCCACTGCACAACCATGCCTACCGTACCACTTCCATCTAATCCCACGTACATTGAAAGTGATGGGCACCACAGCAATGACAATTTCCAAACATAGGAATACACAACGTAAACAAATAGCAGATAATACAAAGAAAACACAAACACACACATCACAGGCGGGCAATTCCAATATTTATTCGTTCATCTTTCGCGGCATGTGTTGCAGATACCGACAATAATAATTATTAGTTTCAAAACATCAGTTAGTCCAATACTTGGTCAATTCAAAGCCATATGTGTTTTCAAACCTTGTACTTATGCTGTATTTTTATTGACAGTGTCAATTTCGATACATCTGGTGTTTCATCGGGGTTTTTTTTAATGGAAGATGTACAATTAGCATAGCATTTACCCAGCGCTGTTCTAGTAATCTTATGACCATGAATTCGGCAGTTTTTGCTGACGTTCTAAAATGTCAACGACGTCCTCCAAAATATTGAGTTGTGTAACAAGATTGTTCCATGATCATAGAAATCCATATCGGTACATTGTTAGCCAAAGATACATCGTATTTTATCCATTACCAATACCATAAGTAGTTCTCGATACGTGCCGCATAATAACAGCAAATTACAAGGTGACATTTTGATGTGTGATGTACGCATTCAAAGACATGCATACCGTTTAAATATTTTAACATCAATCTAACAGTAACTAGCGTAGTGATTGAAATTTCCGGACCGATATTGTTCGCGTGAAGTCATTGATCGTTTAATTACGCTTACTATACCAATTGCTGTACATCAAATTTGCCTGAAAATCATCCATTAAACCCCGTTTTATTCTCTCTTTCCTAATAATCTGAAACATATAACTCATTTATAAACATATTCATCAACACCATTTCGCGGCAAAGCCACAGTGGAATGTAATCACGCGAACAGTACCGGTAATGAAATGGATTAAACTGGTTCCAGTATACATCTGACGACAGTCTCAATGATTTGAGACAATTAGACATTAATTTTACCGAATTAGAAAGAGCAACATGGGTTTAATTGACCGTGAACGCGCATGACAATCGATTTGACTAAATTTACAATCACTTATCTCCAAATCACAGCAAACAACAACTCTTATTCACTGCTGTTCGGTTCGTATCAATCGATAGGTTATACACAAAATTGTCACTCGTACTTTTTCTTCGGTGTCTGCCATTTTTATTTGATTCTTTACGCTGACTTTGGTCAGTCTCCGAATTCATATATAAATTGTGTTAGTTTGATATAGTTGATGATTGGTTCGAACTGGAAGACGAATAGGTTGAATAAGTTAAATAAAACAATGCAGTCAAAGCTTCTTTACAATGCAGTAAGCCTTCCTAGAAACGTGTAACCAAAAAAATATGTCAAGATTGTAACTCCAACTCCCTTTTCGTATAGATGTATTCTTCTTTATAGTGTTACTTAGAGATGTAATGTATTTTTTGATTTCCTAATTTGCTGTCTTCCTTATTTTTTTAAAAAGATTATTATGGCTTCCTAAACAATCACAATCATCATGACTGCAGTCACAAATTAACGCTATCTTGATTGATGCCTTTGAGTGTTATTACAAGTTGTCTGTCTTTTATAAATGCCAACAAGCTAAAATTGGGATTAACTATAATTGTTGAAATATCGATATAACTATAAGAAACATTTTTAAAAAGCCGTGTAGGCATACTGAATTGCAAACCGGAAACAAAATTTCCCAAATGTGCACCTGAGGATCATTTTCTTAAATCCTATGTAATTATTGCGATTATCTCACCTTACGCATATTTGCAGTTCTTCTAACGGATTAGTGGGGGCTGTAAAGTGTCATAAAATGATTTGGGCATAGGGAACGACACCAAAGTTGTCTTGGTGAAGTGATAATTGCTCGGACGTCAGATATAAATCCATTGTGTCATTAATTATCCCGTAAAGTCGAGCTACAGGTTTTCTTGAAGCCATGTTTCTCTAAAATGTTTGACTTGATTTTTTAATTTGAATCGGTGGACATTGGTGTTCCAAAAGCACGGGCTTTCGAACAGTTGCGTCATTTTCAGTTACCCGCAGTTAGTAACCATTTCGAAAGAGAGAGATACGGGGGCATTTTTGCGCCAACAACCGTGTAACTGTTCATTCCAGTAGCGATATACAGAACAAACACGGACAACAAATGGTGTTATTTTGTGACACGACTTCTTTTCATGCTGACAAACATAGGGACCCTTGATGTGCCCGTCTCGTCTGCCCAAAATAGACCCCTGGCGGCCCTCGGTTGCCCTATTGATACCTGGCCCGCTGTTCCGATTGTTCACCGGTCCGTTATCTCAGTGCCCTATCTGGTGTTCGAACTGTTGCCTGCATAATGATACATGTATGTCGTACCATAGTCGTACGGTGCTTAGCGTTTTTATTTCCAGGTCTATGTTTTCGCAGTTGACGTCGTCACTAGGTGGCGCCCTTTTAGCTCTGTATGAAAATATTCCATGGGGTTTATGGATGTGTTGCCGAGACAGATAGCTTGAGTCGTGTTAGCGCCGCATCACCTGTGTATATGCGTGTAGGCACGGGCGATGTGCCTCATTGTGGTGGTTCACCACGGACTGTCGACGCACGGGAACCCCTCGCTCATCCCACTGACGTCTGCACCTCCATAGTGTGTTTCGGCTTGAGACTTGTGTTTTTCCTGCTTGTGTTTTGGGGTTATTGCGGCATAAGGTAGCTTAGACACCGGAGTGTCAGCAGGCACCATGATGGAGGGTAACAGCCCATCGTTTTACAACTCGCCCTTCGGTTTCCACAATGACCAGTTCGTGGGTCCGCCCCTCTCGGGCGGCACGGTGCCCCACCGGAGCTACAGCCCGCCTGCCCCGCCAGCCTGCATCTACGCCGACAAGCCCGGCCCGCAGGTAGGGGGTTACGGCGGGGCACCCATGGCCGTGGTGGAGTCCCGGGTGGACGAGGGCTTGCTGCAGTACCCTCGCATGACCAACATGAACATGATGACCCTGGCCAACATGACACTGCCTCAGGACACGGCCTGTACGCAGGCGGCTTGCGGGGCCGGGACTGGAGCCGCGGCCCAGCCGTGCGACGGGGTCCGGGAGCCCATGCAGGCCGGCCAGCTAGTTCACGCCGTCATGCAAGGCACCACGGCGGTAGCAGCTTGCCGAGGATCGAACCAGAACCTTGGCGGTAACCCAGGGCCGCATCATCATCATACACCCACCGCCTCGGCCGGCAAGACCAAGGCCGAGGATAGAAATCAAAACCTTCCCTTTCCATGGATGAAAACCACCAAATCGCACGCTCATATGTGGAAAGCTAACTGGCCAGGTAAATCCACAATCTTCATCTATTCGTCGATGTTTTGATTTTGTCATCTTATCAGTTCATTAACAGTGGAGTAATTCCCTTACACGGACCTGTCATTGTTTTGTTTCGTCGTTTGATCTCATTAAGAAGCAAATATCCTAGCATGCATGTTTCATCAAGAAAGTCTGGAGAGACATTCGCATTCGTACTTTATTATCATTCCCAATTATGCACAACTCTCAGAGCAAAACCATTAAAAAATTGAATCAATAAAAAGACAGAAATATGCAGTCTGTTCAATTAAAATGAGCTTGGTTCGTGGTAATCGCGCATGCTGCATGGCGGGACGTATACTAACATATTACAAACATTTCTGTTGTACTTTATTAAAGTGATGTTTGGTGTAATCCAGACAAATCGAAACTCCTTTAAATTTTCTTGCATGCCATATAAAAAAAGACACTCTACATCTGATTTGTCAAGGAATAATGATACTCTTCACAAAACCAGATTTGTAAAAACATCCAGTACAGCTCAAAACATGCACACGCTTTTATATTCTTCGGCAAATGAAAACCTAAACAAATTGACCCCTTTTTGAAAACACGTAAAAGCTGTAAACTTCCCCAGTTAGACATTATGAGTGCCATGTACCATTAAAGCAAGTCAGCGTATACATTATCTGTCGTTCACAGAGCACTTTGTAAATTTGACGTATTTTTTTCATTAGTTTTCTATTTATTTCTCAATAACTTGGCGTCATTCCTCGTATCAGACATGTAGCGATATCGTAATCTCGCCAATCGCTCCGTACCACAATATTACTGTCGCTGTCGCCTTGATTAACAACTGTCTAGCTATTGTTGCAATTCACTCAAATGCGACCGACATTTCCCAAGCGTTTTGTTATCTAACTACAACCTCCCAGATTTTTGTAACAGAATTATCTGACGCAGATTTGGAAAGAAAATAAAAATAGACTTTAATTGATGGATTATATATAAATTCAGATTTGATTTTGATGTAAATACTCGAGAATACAATTGAAACCATTTTTCAATATAGCCAATTAATTTTCAGCGAAACAATTTCAGATATTTTATAACTGATCTTTGAAATTTATGTCACAAATCATCATAATACACGTAGGCCTAATACCCTCAAACGCTGACGAATACAGTTGTCATTCGCCCACCAATGGATTTGTGATGTTAATAGAATTGTGTCTATCATTGTTTTGCTATCGTGTTTGTGGTTGTATATCATGTTTGCTTTCTCCATGTCCATGCATGTTTCGTCGGTCGTGTGCAGAACATTCTACATATGCGCTTGATCCTCAGACGTGATAGTTCCCACGCTAAAATAAAACCTATTCTATTTTTGTCATTCTCATACCGACATTGCCGTATCCTGATGACCGGGTTGACTTTTCTGGGTCACTGAATTTGTTTACTTCAAAATTAGTGATTTCTAGGAACAACATAGGAAACCACTAGAATAATATTTCATGCATGCCTTTGTGTCTTTGACTTGTGTGTTTTTTGTAATTTTGGCTTTGACAAAGATCCTTCTATAATTATAGGAAGCGTTAGGCCCCTTAATATTTTCTTATTGGAATAATTGTTTTCCTTACAAAATGCAAACTTGACTTTGCCATAAATTGAGCAGATAATCTTGTACATAATTTAGGGTCCTTTGAATAGTTAAGAACGTTATTTTGGAATAAAAATCATTCCTCCCACTATATATCCCAAAATACACCAAGTGGGTAAAAAAAAACGAAGGTGAAGTAGGCCTATTCCGCGATAGGAAATTACTGAGCGGACCGGCAGCGCGTGCTAACCCCGACCGGCACGGAGATGACACCCACGGTCACGCGGTCAGATTCTCGGTAGATAGCTTCGCGTCATCGTGCCAAGCTCGTTGTTCAAAGCTCCCATGTCCATAAAACCGAAGCATTAATAGGAACACAAATTACATGTCAACTCCTGATGGTGCAATTTTTGGCAAGGAAGGTTAATTTTTTATACTCAAAGACATGTTTAAATTGGTAATATTTTCTGAAAAGGATGTGTGGTAATCTTAACGTATCAATCAAGGTGAGGAGATAAAATCTCTATTACATTGCATTCATGTGATTAGTCTTCGTACCCTACTGTGTTGGAATGTGATTTAATGCACAAAAGCTACCGCAAGAAATAGAATTAAGCTGTATACCACAGTTCGCTTATTTCGCATGAAATGTTCAATGATTTCCTTTCACATTTCAAAAATTGAATTACAATTGCCTTGCTTTAATTGCAGCATTTTGTTTATGATTTCACGCTCGTTTTGGGGTTCGCATATTTGATGTAGGCCCCATATTATGTTGGTGATCTTTGCTCATTTTATCATGCAGTCTGCTAATGCATTTGGAGCCTAGTTTTCGATACTTTTCAGCCAACCCTCATTATCATTCTGTATGAGCTTCCCTTTCCTGTTATATTCCGGAAACTTAGGCCCTGTCATATCTATATAATTATGAAAAACATATATCGCTTTCAGCAAATTCCCCTTTGTATTCTTTCAGAGATATGTCAATATGCATGCAAAAAATACAGTAAAGTACTTTTTATTCAGTAGAGTCACGGTGGTTTAAACACTTACGATTTGCTGACATATTTTACAAATTTGTTTTTTTTCTGAAATTCCAATTGATTTGTTTATCTGGAAATAAACCACCAATACGCGAAAATCAAACTTGTCATTTTAGATAACTGATTTCACTTAACTCAGTTCAGGATAAAGACGACGTGAAAATATTTCGTTTTTGTTCTTAAAACGGTCACAAATTACTAGGAAAGTGTGATTTAAAATAGTGATTTCGAAATGACAATCGCTTATTTCTTAAACATATCAGTTTTTTTAAACCTAAGGCTTGTTTCGATTTTTTTGTGGAAGTACGTAATAGTTCCTGTAATAAGCAAATAGAGAAAATACGTACAAAATAAATATAAAGAATAAGAAATAATTGATTATTTCAAACTTAGGCAAACCATTGAAAAATAATAATTAAAATATTGATGCATATCCGCACGTTGATTTAATTCAAAATTAATGTATTCGGGCCGGCATGCGCGCCGCCGCACTCACTTATACTGATTAATATACAGTCTCGCTCTGAACTCCTTTTTTTGGGGTAAATTTTCTCGGCACTGTCTCACAAGTTGTCATCGATCTTGACCGATCGATATTTTTGTTAAATAGGGGGAGGGGATAAGGGGGGGGGTCCTGATTATCAATGTGTGCCCTGCTTACTGGGCCTACTTGAGCCCGACAAAGGGCCGACGAGACTTGTATGCACCCCAGAAGTGATAAACAAACCAAGTTTGAATTTCAAATTTGCCATCGGTCAACACACAAACTGCACGGGTAAAGTTGATGTTTTGAGAAGTTCATTTTTCTTTTTCTTTTCCCCTCTATTTCTGGATTTTCCGGCATAAATATCCCTAGCTTTAAAGATAATCGTCTACAGCGATAGGGCGAAGGAACCTAGATGTCCAAGAAAAAGAAGTAGTAATACATTTTGTCGCTCAGGCTTCAAAAACAGACTTATAGGCCTATTCATGACGGTATCGAAATATGACAAAGCATAGAATCAAAATACATGTAGGCCCACATAAAACTATACAACTCAAAAAGGATATGAAACATGACTATATTATCCATTCCCCTGTTAGACAAAACATAATTTCCCAAATGCTCGTTAGATTTTCTCGAGTTTGTTGATTAACTTAGATTAGGGAGTTTCAAGCTTATATGGCCCGTGACCGAGTTGCTTGGCACCATTTGTTCGTCTTGTTCATTCATTTGTCAGTCTGGTTCCCAGTGCTATCCGGAAAAAAAGTTTGCTCCTGAGCAACAATACCTGTAACTGTTTTTGTTGCCTATTCAGCCATGCATGTAAGAGGGATCTAAAAGAACAAGAGACTTTATCATGATCCTCAAAAGTCCTGGTGGGCAGAGTTTCTTCCTTCATCTTCTTCTCCTTTTTACCTCCGTCTTTTGAGATGAGGTTTAACCCAGTCATCAAGTGTATTTGTTGAAGTAATGATGAGCGTACATTGTTACCATCATCACCGGGGGAGCACGGGCGGCCCCTTTTTGAGGATCGACTACCGGGTCCGACATTGATTAGTGGGTTTTTCCAATTATCTGGAGTCTGGGGAGAGTGAATAAAACTCGCCCATAGCTTGAAAGATGGGGTACTTTTCGGATGACAGACTCTGGAGTCATTGACCGTGTAAAGGGATTCTGAAATGCCAAGTGAAAGACGCCTAAACGGGTCCTCGGATGCCCAGGAAAACCTGGACGCCTGTTCGTTTTAGAGAAAGTCTGTTCTTTTGTAATGATGTAATGAACTATAATACAAATCAAATAGAACAGACTATAAGATTGATTAGTTTTTTCCCCTATATGTAAATAATAATAAAAGCAAACTGCCGAACGACAGTAGTTTTCGAGAAAAAATCCACTGTCTCTTTTGGAGAAAAAAAAATCATGTAACAGTTGCGTAATGAGTTTTTTCCTTAGCTCAGAATGCTGTATTTATTGGTACGCAATTTTTAGCCATGTTTCTGGTAAATTGACATTGCAATAAAAGTGCTTTCTTTTCACCAAAGAGACCGTGACAGCATAACAATGGACAAAATTATCGACATATAATAAGTCATTTTTCAAAAAGCTTTTTGGGGGGACAAATTCGTTTTGTGACATGCCACCTAAAATGCAAAGCCAGTGATTCGTGCACCTTTTTTGTTTCTTTTGCGCGCCATGCACGATAAGGCCATCACAAACCTGGTCAAATTTGTCGTCTTCTTTTTATGTCGGGGAAAAGTTTAGATTTTGGAGAAGTGTTTGGAAAACATTAGCAATCGTAACTCTTTAGGAACAGTTAACTGCAAAATAGAATATATGGCACACAGCTAATAAACTAATACCAACACAATGTGGCTAACTTAGCTTGCATTTCGCACTCAAAT